AAAAAAAAAAAAAGAAAGAAAGAAAGGGGGAAAAAAAGTAGTTTCAGATGGCAGTTAAGTGTCACAACTGGGTGAAAACCATTTTCAAGGAGAGGGAATGACTTTAGATTTGGCTGCAGGTCAGGACGCTCTAAGGAGTTGCCTTCTGAACTGAGAACTTAAGCCAGGGATGGTGGCATATGCCTGTAATCCCCACAACTCAGGAAGCTGAGGCAGGAGGATCACAAGTTGGAGGTCAGTTTCAGCCACTTAAAAGTTAAAAAAGCATAGGTATGTAGCTCAGTGGTGAAGTGCCCTTGGGTTCAATCCCCAGTACCACCAATCAATCAATCATAAGCAGAACACTGAACTATGCAAAGCACAAGCCCTGGGACAGGAAGGAAGCAGGGTGAAGGTCTGTTCTAGGGAGAGGGGACAGATTCAGGGTTATTAGAACTTCTACTTATGTGTCTTTCTAACATTACTAATGTTATCACTCTTTACTAATATTTAATATAAAAACTGAGCCTGGTTGGTATCTTCACTCTCAAGTCAAACAAGGTATTCTGAGAAAAAAGAAAATTCTACAACTTGAAGGGACTGATATGGACTGGTATACCATTTATAAATACTTTGAATTAAATACAACTATTATGTATAACACTCATCTTATTCTTTTAAATTTCTATTTTAGAATACTTTATAGTATAGGCACAAATTAGGACAATAAAATGTTTCATACATGTGTATATATGTCATCTATAAATAGATTTATATATCTAGAAATCCATAATGTACTTCTCTATCTACTCTCCCACCATACACATATAAGGTAGAAGAGCTTTACTTAAAGCTTTTTATTAATGGACAGACTAACTCCTCACTCCATGAAGTTTCATTCCAGCAATGATACCCATTTTGTATCTCACTGCGGATATAGCTGGGGCTATGTCTAGGCCAGTGATTTCCATTTGGCTGTACATCAAAATGACCTGAGATCAATGCTTATAGCAGCACAATTCACAATAGTTAGGTTATGGAACCAGCCCAAGTGTCTGTCGATAGATAAAGGGATTAAGAAAATGTGGTAAATATATAAAATAGAGTTTTACTCAGCCATAAAGAATGAAATGATGGCATTTGTTGGTAAATGGATGGAACTGTAGACTATCATGCTAAGTAAAATAAGCCAACTCAGGAAATCAAGGGCCAAATGTCCCCTCTCCCTAAAAGAGACCTTTGCTCAACATCCCTCCTGTCCTGGGGCCTGCACTTTTGTATACTTCTCTCCTATGTGGAAGCGAGTATAAATAAGGGGAAAAAAGAAGAAAAGGGGGTTGTATATCATAAAGATACAGGGAAGATCAGTGGAGGAGGAGAATAAGAGGGAGAAAGGAGGGACTGGAAAGGGGAGGAAATGTGGAATGAACTTGAAAAAAATATATGAGGTATATACACACACACACACACACACACACACACACACACACACACACACACACACCCCACAGCGAATTCCACCTTTATGTGTATCTACAAAACACCAATTAAAAGTCAATAAGTAATTAAAAGGAAAACCAATAGAGTAGAGGAAGAATAAGTGGAGAGAGGAGGGGAGGAAAAAAGGGATCACTGGGGACTAAAAAGGAGTCAGTTAAATTCCACACATGTATGATCTTGTCAAAATGAACCCAACTATTATGTATAACAATAATGCACTAATTTAAAAAATTTGTATAGAAGAAAAAAAAAAGACCTGAGCGCTGTAATAAAATCAGACTCCTCTAGGTGGAGCACACAGGATTTTAAGGCTATGGCAATGCTGGATACATGTCATTATACATTTGTCCAAACTCTGAGAATGTACACCACTAAGAGTGAACCCTAATGCAAACTATGGACTCCGGGTGATAATATAGGTTCATCAGTTGTAATAAATGTGCTACTCTGGTGAGGAAGGTTGATTTTGGGGGAGACTATGCATGTGTGGAAGAAGATGGTATATGGGAAATCTTTGTACCTTCCTCTCAATTTTGCTGTGAACCAAAAACTGCTCTAAAAGAATAAAACTTTAAAAAAAATCCAATTCCTGGGTCTCATCTCCAGCAGATTCTCATTTAGTCTGACATGTTCTGAGAATTGTAATACCAGGGGTGAACCCGAGGATGCTTAACCACAGAGCCACATTCCTAGGGCATTTTATTATTTTGAGACAGGGTCTCAGTAAGTTGCTTAGGTCCTTGCTAAATTGCTGAGGCTGGCTTTCAACCTGCGATCTTCCTGCCTCAGCCTCTCAGAGCTATGATTTTAAAGAGCTCTTTGCATTGTTCAAGCATTGGTCAATTTGGGAAACACTGGTAAAAAATGGTATTGGGATGTGTTTGTGGTCACAGGTACATTAAAATGCATATTTATTTAGGTTACTTTATATTTTTCTATCTTTCTTTCTTCCCCTGCCCCACAAAAACCCAAACATGTTTTTTAAAGACAAGAGAGCAAAACTTCCTCATTCACACTTAACTCTCTCCTTGGTGCAGCATCGCTCAGGTTGCATGCACTGGATGAAAGTTACTTGGTGGTTTTGAAATGACATTTTTAAAACAAAAGGCAACCATGGTTTTAAAAGCACCAAGGAGATATCAGAAATGACAGATAAATGGTAGTCTAAAATACCCAAGCAGACAACATTCACAGGGTAATTAAACACTTCTGACCTGGAACCAGTGTGGTAATCGCTGTCTGTACGGCTTTGCGGATAATGCTGTCCAAGGCGAACATCCAGTGTGGCTTGATGTTATGATTTCGAAGAACCTTATTGACCTGGAAAAGAGAGGGACATCTAATATTTAACTACAAATAACCCGGCAGATCCAATCACTTGGATGAAATTCTACCTATAAAAATAACGAAAAGTTTTCTTCACTTCGAATTATAAATTTCTTCATGCTAATAGAAGATAAATTAAAAATTGCCACTTCAAATTAAAGTTGATTAAGCCCCATGTAAGCAAATAAGTTATTTAAATAGAAGGAAGACTGGCCAAATGGCAATGTGGCTTCTTTGGGACTTAGAATATGCAGCTGCAGAATGGGTGGTGGAGGAGGTAAAAGAGGAAAACAGAGCCCTGGGATAGTAAATAAAAATAAATGCCATCCCTAAATCTTAGAATTACTGCTTAACATAGTCAAGCACTTCCCCCGTACTATGGTGATTTGGAAAAATAAGCAAAGGGGAGAAATTAGCATTTTATGTGCTACCAATAGGTTTGCTACAGTGCATATCTTGTTTCCTTTCCACTGTTGTTTATGCCTGTGTAAACATAAACAAGGAGAATAATCTGGTAGACTATTCCAGAAAGCCAATTCACATAAAAAATCTTTATTGTAGGAATATCTTTTCATGATGACTGGTAATGCTATACACATTTAGACACTGAAAAAAATATGTGTGTTACCTTTCTGTCCCTTAAAAAAAAACTGTAATAAAATACACATAAAATTTACCATCATAACTGTTTTTAAGTGTATCATCAGTGCATTAAGTACTTTCACATTGTTTTGCTACCATCACCACCATCTACCCTCAGAACTTTTCTCAACTTGCAAAACTATACTCTAAACCCACTAAACAGTAAGTTCCCAAACCCCTAATACTTCCTGAAAACCACCATTCTACTTTCTGTTCCCAAGAGTTTGAAATTGGAAGCACCTCCTACAAGAGGAATCATATAGTATTTGGCCTTTTGTGACTAGCTCTTTTCACTTGGCATCATATCCTCAAGGTGCACCCAAAGTAGTAGCAGTGTGTCAGAATTTCCTTATTTTAAAGGCTGTACAGTATTCCATCGTATGTATATACTATGTGCATAATCTTTTTAAAAACATCCTTTTTCCATAAGTCTTAGGCCTAACTCAAGTTTGGACTAAGTCCACTATTTGCTGGTTGACAAAGGCCTCTAAGGAAAGCGGCTATTTCCCCAACAGGCTCTGGTTAGATAGAACCTCAGCAGAAACTAGGAGATGGTAACTGAGTACAAATGCATGCCAACAGCTTCCCTTGGTCCATCTTTATTAGAATCCCCCAGTTTTCAAGGAAGTCAATTTGAGAACTTCCTCATAGTAGCTATTCCCAGGGAAATGAACCATTGCCAGGATCCCACTTATTATGGGAAATTCTTTCAGACTGAGTTTGTCCTGGTACCTTCATTTCTTTAAAGCACTTAACCTGCTTATTTGACTAATTAGAATAACACTAACTGCTATGGCTTGGGTCTTGACTGTCCCCCACAGGACCATATATTAAAGGCTTAGTCACCAGCCTATGGCACTACTGGGAGATGGAAAAACTTTTAGCAAGTGGGACATAGCAGAAGAAAGTTAGGTCACTGAGGTTGTGCCCTTGAAGGTGATTTGGGGAGTCCCACCCCTTCCTCTCTTTACTCCCTGGCTGCCACAAGATCAACAGGCCTCCTCCATCATGCGCTCCCACTATGATGTACTGTTGCTGCCACAGGCCCAAAGTATCAGGGCCAAGTTACCATGGACTGAAATATCTGAAACTGAGCCAAAATAAACCTTCCTTCTTATAAGTTGACTTATTTATTATAGTGACAGAAAGCTGATTAATACACTAATCCATAATATTTCCCTCAGGAGTCATACACATGGTGGACAAAGGATGCTTTATAAACATGACCTGCTTCTCATAGGGTCCTCATTATGCAGCATATTACAGAGGGTCCATTCTTTGGATTCATTCTAATGCTAAACAGTAAGTTAGTGAAAGTGGGGGTGAGTATGTGTTTATCTGGGAGTCCCCTGGGCTTGAGGCTCAGGATTACAACTACAGAATTCTCAGTCTGAATTCTACAGCCAATTTGATTTCCAACCTCTAGGCTAGCAGCCAAATATGTGGGCAAGTGCAAATTAGCTAAATGATTTCACTCTATTTACAGATGGCGGTGTTTCCCCAGTTGCAGTGTAAGCATGCCTTCAACATCTAGTATTAGTGGTAGGCTTTTGCCAATGGTTTTCATTTTCTGCAACTCTTTTCCCTGCTCCCCATTTAGCACAAGGACCCAGTGGCTTATACAGTGTTTCCGAGAACACTCGTGGCCACTGACAGATCAACATTTAGTTTCAAATGAGGCATCATTTGATGCTCCAAATACAACTATCAAGGCACCTTCTACATAGACGCAACAAATACATTCGAGTGAATTAATTTCTAGAATTTAAATAATATTCTACAGCCTGCTTCCAAATTTATATTACAGGTACTATGAAGAACTCTCTTATTTCTTTCTCCTACACCATGTAAGGGTCTTTTGGGAGTGGCTTATGCTGATTTGAGCATAAAGTTCCATATGTAAGTGTTACCCAAGAATACACAGAGGGTTTTGAATCAGTCTTCTAGTTTATGTTGCATAGCAACTCAATTTTAGAATAATCAGCAATCTCTCACTAGATTATGTAGATTAATTTTCACTCAGTGATAGTCTATACTCTAAATTAGGTTTCTGGCTAGGACATACTAGATACTTATGAAATAAGGATGTACAAAATGCTCTGTATAGAAACCAGAGAAAAACTGGGAGAAAAAAGTGACTTTGTTCAGTGACCATTCCAATGCATACTGTTAAATTGCTCTTAGTGGCCACTAGATGGCAATTCTTGTATTGCATTACAAATTGCATGACTACAGTGTGCTATGTTGCTAAAGTCACCAAAGTAAATAGTGACCCACTACATGATTTCCTAAGAATAAAGTCCAATCAGGGGAAAAGTTTCTAAGTTTTGCTACTTTCCATGGTGATTCAGTTTTATGTGTGTTTATCTTTGAGAAATACTAATGCACAAAATAACAAATCCAATACTTACAGACAAGCAGATAGGCAAATATCTCATATCTCTCATCCAAAGAGAACAGAGTTCATTGAAATTATTGAAAAAAAATACTAAAACCTGTATTTTATCCTATTTTTATGACTAATGTTAACAGAGTTTGTGGCAAACCACTGACAAAAAGTTACACTTTAGGCTAGGGTTGTAGCTCAGTAGTAGAGTACTTGCCTAGCACATGTGAGGCAGTGGGTTCAATCCTTAGCAACACATACAAATAACTAAATAAAAATAAAAAGGTCTTGTGTCCTTCTCCACCAATTAAAAAACAAAATTTAAAGTTACACTTACCGCATCTTGGAATCCAAAGAGGACCACCTGCACTTGGCTGATGCCATGGCTGTCAAAATCCAGCTCTAATTTCAGCTTTGACAGCGTAGTGGCTATGATTTTTCGGTCAGTGGACCTCACAAACTCTCTGAGGCTTGTGACGAGGGTTGTGATGTGTTCCCATTTTAGTTTAGGTTCTTCAGGCCCCTGTGAATAAAAAATATTTCAGTCACACTGTGCTAGACACATCAGCCACAGACATACCACTTCTACAGTCCTTTCTAGAAGAACTGGGCTCCAGAGGGCTACCCATTAAAGCAAAAGATCACATTTTGAGCTCTACAGCCCCTCTCAGCCACCATTACCACCTTGCTCCTGCCATCAAGAAGAAATCAGACTTTGGGAGAATGGGCACTTACTCCTCACACTCACCAATAACTAGGATACAGTCAGATGTACAAAGCTTTAACCAAATAGGGGCAGGCTGAGTCAATGCGAGCCTTGTTCTCAGAAATTATAATTGAGAACTTAAGGGAGATTCAGGCAACGGGCCACAGGATCTTAAAGTCAACCCATAGACAGGTCATAAAATAGGGTCATGAATGCATCCAATTATAAGAAAGGAAGAGAAAGTAATAATGTTGGGAATGACAACAGGGTGGAAGAAGAGAAGCACACAGAAACAGAAATGCCCACAAGAGGACCAACAGCAGCCGAGCCAAAGAAAAGATGTGCAGACTCCTGGACCTTGAAGTCCCTCTGGTTGGAATTCAGCTCAGTCAGGGACTGTGGTTGGAACTCCTTGAGAGTCTAAGTGTCTTGTTGCTTTGTGTACCTACTACAATGTGCTCCTGGTACTTTAACCTCCCTAAAGCAAGTCAATTTCATGTGGGGGTGGGGTGGGGGGAGTGGGCATGTTTGTCTCACACTCCCTTCTTTAAACCATTCATTACCCATCAATGAGGCATTCTGTTAGAAGAATGGGCCAATGGACTATTTTACATATTAAAAATAGAATACAATATTTCTACAAATCCCCTCTCTCAAATTTAATTTTTTTTTAACTTGGAGCAAAGCACATTGCTTTTGTAAAGAAAATACAGAATTTATCCTTATTTAACTTTAAGAAACAACAAGATTTTTATTATATTCATTTCTATCTCATATTGTACATTTTCTTACTGCATCATTAAATTCCTCAACCGAGAGATGAAAATTACAATCCCTAGGAATCTATTAAAATAAAGAGAAATGCACCATCAAGTTCCTTCTCTCCATATATTTCCATGTGGGAGCTGTCTCATGTTTATGTTTTCATGAGAAAAGATGATATTGAAAAGCTTAAAAGCTGTCATCAAGGAGACATTTTTAAATCAGGCTAGGAACAATTATAAACCTTGTCTTATTTTGTTTTTTAAAAAATTCACAGGCAAAATAATAACACCAAGAAAATATCTTTAAGAAGAAAAATGTTACTCAGAAATGGGAAGCTTACCTTAGTGAAAAATCAGTTACATGTTTGCCAACAGTCAAAATAGTAAACATTTATATTTGACATGAGCCCTGTTTTCACAATAGAAAACGTTGTTTCTGGTTTTTAGATGTGTATGTCATAGTCCTACAAAGGAACACTCTCTACTCTGGGAAATACTTTTTGTCCACTTAAGTAATCGTTATTTCTGCCCCAATTCTCATCTTTCCATGTTAACTCATAAACATGCCTTCAATAAGGAGCATCTTATGTTGGAGGAGCCTGACTCCCTATCCACAGGCAATATGTGACAGTGTGCGAGCCCCAGAGTTTTCTGCAAAGATCCTCTCTGCCTTTTATCCTTTGAACTTTGAGTGGACCTCTCAAAATGTGGTACAGATAAAAGGCTTTTCATGGTTTAGTATTATGAGGGGCAGATCAATATCCACCTTTCAAGGTAGACTGAGATGTTAAGCCTGCCTGAGATAGAAAGATATATCTAGAAATACTTAATGTTCTGAAAAAAAATTCCTTCTGATTGTAGGAAAAAAACAAAGATTGATCATAACTGTAATAAGAGCTATGATCATTTGTTCAATATATTCTGTTATTCTTCTAAATCACGCATAATCTCAAGAGACTCTGGTTCGCAACCTCATGGGTAGATAGATAACTTGTGTTTGGGAGGAGAAGGCTCAGGCTCTGAGAGGGTAAATAAGTGGCCCAAATTGTAGAGCTTTGAAATGATGCACCCTGCCTCTAACAGAGGCCAGTCCAAGCTGGGCTCCAGGTCCCAGCCATTCTATACCTCTGCCCCAATTAGCTGGAGTAGCCAGCCATAAACCTGAGTCAAGACCTGCTTTACCACTGAATCACCAGGCAGTGTCACAGGATGAAATCCACAGTGCCCTTGACAGTACACTCAGGACCCTCACTATCACTGGACCATTCTGGATAGGGCATGTGATTCTGACCAGCAGTTCCTGGCACTGAGGTATGCCCTCTTGAAGTTGCTTTCATGTTTCCTTTTATAGAGAACATTCAAGTGTGCTTTAAAACTAGCAGGCACCAAACCATTGAATATGATTAACCAACTTCAAAATTTAAGAATTTCAGGTTAGGGGTGTAGCTGACCCAGTGGTATAGCACGTGATTAGCAGGTGGGTGTCCCTGGGCTCAATCCCTAGCACCACCCCTAACCCCCAAAATTCCGAATTTCAGTCATCACAGAAATGACTTCTTTTGTTAGGTTTTGAGCTGGTGGCTGGGATAGAATGACAGCCAGGACATTCTCTGCCCAAATGGAGTCACAGTCCAATAGGGGGCAGAGAAAAAGCCCCACACAGATGACATTTTCTGTATTGGAAAAGCATACCTTTGGCGATGAGTACAAGATTCAGGCAATCCCTGGGGTCTACATGTTTCTGACCTAAAAATAAACTACGTGACCATAGGAGAAGGCTGCACTCCTCAGCGGCTGGCAGTGACTTCCCTTCCTGCCTCTCTCCCCCTACACTGGTCCCCTCTCCTGCTTTACGTTTCTCTCAGCACCTGTCTCCATCTGGCGTAGCAGACAGGCAGAGAAGGGTGGTAGTTAAGACCACATACCATGCAACCAGACTGTCTTCATCCAACCCAGACTCCTCGGCTTAGGCCTGCATGACCTTGGCAAGCGACTCAAGTCCTCTGTGCCTCAGTTTTCTCATCCATAAAATGAGGACACTGACAGAGCTATTATTTTAGTACCCCTGTCCTAAGGATTAAATGAGTAAATACTCATGAAATACTAAAAGTAATACCTGGCTCAAAGAAAAACAAGTTCCATTAGGACCCCGTGTAGATGGTGCGCATTTCAGTTCTCCCTGTACCCAGAGACCCGACAGTCACACATACGGCCTTTGGCCTCCTCCTCAGGGATCCAAAGAGGTAGATGTTAGGGAATTCCTAAAGGGACAAAATGTTCAGGCTCAAGAGATAGCAGAGAGGCCTAGGGGAGTCCTCAAGATAAAGACACGATGGGGTCGTACAAATGGAGCCAAAAAAGGGACAGCCTCGCTCCATTTCCATCTCAGTAAAAAAACAGAAAAACTGATGGACTGAGACTAGCAACTTAGCCTGATCCCTTCAGCTGTGTCCTTTCTGTAGCTGTTTTCCCAAGACAGAGGGAAGAAGCTGCATGGAGTCTGCTGTGATCACACAGGACAGGTGTGGCCATGTAGACAGGTGATGCAGAAGCAGCAGGTAAAGGAGCCCTGGTGCCGGCAGAACGGAGGATGACAAGTGTGATGTCCGGGCCAAGCATGTCTGTGGAAGGCTTGTATCCACATGGGGCCTGAGCTTCCGCCCCAGTGGCTTGGAACTGAAGGAAAACCTGGTGCAGATTTGGGGGAGTGGATTCTTCCTCAGTCTATAAGCACAATCCTAGGGAACATATTTTCCCAGATACTACAGACTGAATTGTGTCCCCCACAATTCATACGTTGAAGCCCTACTCCCAGTGAATTTGGAAACAAGGCCTTTTACAAGCTAATTAAAGTTAAGGAGGCCGTGGGGTGGAGCCCTAACCCGACTGGACTCGTGTCCCTATAAGAAGCAGAAGAGACACAGGTGCGCACACACAGAGAAAAGCGCATCTGAAAACCTAATGAGAAGGTGGCCACCCACAATTAAGGAAAGAGGCTACAGAAGAAGCCAAACCTGCCAACACTTGATCTTGGCATTCCAGCCTCCAGAACTAAATGATATTTCTGTGGTATAAGCCACCTCATCTGTGGTCTTTTGTCATGGCAACCCTAGAAAACACATCAGGGAACTACAGTTTCACTGACAAGACTTTGCTTTTTTATAGCACATCTTGCCTCCTAACATATTATATAATTATTTATTGTTGCCCATTGCCCTCCATTGAACGCAGTGGCCTCATGAGCACTCAGGTTGGTTGTACTTGCTGAGACTTACAAATGCTCTGAGGAGTGAGTGACAGGTGACCTTGTGCTAATGCCAGGATTAGAATTTCCCAAGGTTCAAGGCTTGTTTATTGGGCTCCTAGAGACTAGGTGGAACCTCACCACCATGAAAAATTTGTCTTCGACTTAAAAAATAATTTATGTTTAAAAATACTGTTTGTACCTTAGGAATTTGCTTCTTTGTTCCCTCTGGGGTAGGCTGGTTTGATTTGTGAAGATAGTTTCATATCTCCATGAACTATTACCTATCATGGCTCCAGGTGGTTAGGACACAGTTAAAAATACATGAACTCTGGGTGTGACTTAACAGCAGGTGCCTGCAGTTCCAGCCTTGCAGGAGGCTGAGGCAGGACGATGGCTTGAATCAGGAGGTGTAGACCAGCCTAGGCAACATAGGGAGAGCTTGCCTCAAGAAATAAAATAATACACACACATGCACACACATACACACAATTTGGGAAATGAAGTACTTGGGAGAGATTTTTTACCTGAGCTAAAGATTCCATTAAGTTCCTCACAACTTTGTCCTGGTCTTCTGTCAGGATCCTATGAAGGGTGGCCCGCCTTTCACTGTCCTTCCTCAGCATAAAGAACCCAGAATCTTTTTCTTCAGGGGAAGGCGGGGCACTGTGATCCTCAAAATTTTCATCTGGAATGCTGTAATAATTGAGGCAGCATAAATCACAGCATGCTCCATCAAGTAACATACCTCACAACATAATTCTTTTACCCCAAGTAAGTCCCATCTTTACCCCAAAAAGAGTGTCCGTATTCCCTTCACATCTTTTTCTCCACAGGACTTGGCTCTGGTTTTGAAAGAGAAGGGGTCCACCTTCAGCTCTGTATCAGGGGACACAGAGCCGTACTCACTGCTGCTGCTGGTGTCTTCTACCAGGACAGGCACTGGCAAGGATATACTCCTGAGATATTCTGCTGGTGACAGGAGGGAAAATAGGCAGTTAATGCTTTTAGAAATTTACACATCCTAGAACGCCTGTGGAAAGACCAGTATCCTTTGCCGTAGACCTCAGTGCAGAGAGCAGAATGATTATGCTACAAAGGGGACTGGCCATGTGAGTATGATCTGTCCCTGCCTAGTATGACCCAGGCAGGGGACAGCCAGGAAAGGGCCTCCCAGGCCTGAAAAGGAATATGCCAACGGTATGAAACCATGCAGGAAGACCAGGTTTGGTGGGTCCTGGGTTCTGATCTCATTCTTATAGATGACTTATTATTTTTATCTACAGGTCTCACTTTTCACATCTGTAAAATACAAGACCAGGTTCATAAAATTTTAAGCCTTGCTGATTCCTGGTTGTCATGCCCTGAGCTGCCTTCCTCTGCCACACCCTTCTGTGTGATGATCTGCTTCATCTCAGGCCCACAGCAATGGAGTCGGCCAATCAGGAACTGAACCTCTGAAACCAGTACAGAAACCAAATAGAAAATAATACCCTAAAAAGCATTTTGAAAAAAGGATTTCCCAAGATGCTGTTATATCTGGCCTGATGAAGCAACTCTCCCCCCAGCAAAAACTTTTGACTGGACGCATAAAGTTCCTCAAATTTACTTGAAATAAGGACCTGGCCTCTTGAGCAGGAGAATACCATTGGTTATCACCACGACTCTCTGCCAGAATGACTGCTTGCCTGTCCCAGGAAGGAGACTTGGGGAAAGAACAGCCAGTAAACACTTTCAGGTGTTCCAATGAAAGTGTGATTTTAAAAACCTTTGGTAATTCTGCACTATTCTTGGTACTAAAATGGTTCAGAAATATTTAAGAGAAATAAAATCGATATTTTTCTTTCAAAAAAATAAATTTTAAGTCCTCTTCCTCAGAGGTTCAAAGGTCCACCTTAGCCTCTTGAGGCTGCCTTGAAAGGCACAAAGAATGAGAGGCTGTGGGTCTACCCCAGAAGCTCCAACTCGGATTCACCTAGAACAAATGTGCTGTCTCAACTCTGCTCCGGGATACCAGTAGAAAAGGATTCTTTGCTAACAGGATTTTGGAAACCAAGAGACCAGACCTCTTATGCCTTGTCAGGTTCTCAGATACTATGATTTTATGGTAAACATGGGCTTCTACTTTTTTTTGGGTGGAGAATAAGGTTGCATAATAGGAGCTATCCACAGTTAATCAAACACTTGATTTTTAAAAAATTTAATTTAATTTATGAGAAACATGTTTAATATCCCAAGGCTACCAAAGTCTCTTACTAATGAAAACAGATGTCAATTTGCAGAAAACGTCCACTGTTGCCTGGAAGCCCCCTTTTTACTCATTTCTTCTTTAAGCTAGATGGAGTCAAAAACCTGCCAAGTCTCAAAGACAGAAGGTGGTTGGTCAGGAGTGGACTTCTGACTCTGTTCACTGTGACTAGAAACCAGTGACCATTAGCCAGGAGGGGTGGGAGCTGTTAGTACTTTGATCAGACAAATGGACATATTTGGGATTATTCATCGCTTACCTCTGACTTACAAATACCTGAAAGCTAGATCAGCCTTCACTTACCTACATTCCTTCCCTCTCTCCTTCCTTCCTTCCCTCCCCACTCCAAATCTCCCTCCCTTCTTTCCTCTCCTTTCTTTCTTCCTTTCTTCCCTTCCTTCCTTATTCTTCTCTCCCTCTTCCCCTCCATTCCTTTCTCTTCAAGTGTTTTTAGGTTCAGTGTATGCTGTATTATTATGTGTTGTGTATATAACAGAAGAAAATACACAAAATATGTCATAATATTTATAGTAATTATTTCTAGAAGATGTGATTGAGGGTAATCGATTTTCTTTGATTTTCCCAAACTTCAGCAATAACAAGTATTATTTTTATAATCAGAAAGATATGCTATTAATAATATTTTTTAACAAGTAAATATTCAATAGGTAGCAACACCACTTTACATTTCAACAATAAAATCAATGCTTCTTGGAGATAAATAGATTAACTCTATTTAGAATACTTCTAGATTGGAAAGGGGGTCCTACCATGTTTTTGTAAGTATGTGTGCGAATCTAAAGAAGAGAGTGAAGCCTTGAATTATCCTGCTTTTTACCCTTTTTAGTCACTGTATGTGGTGTGACTGCCCAGTAATAAGACAGCCTGGGTCATAACTGTGAATTTTAAGGTTGCTATGGAAACTGATTGCCTAAAAGGAGACCCAATGAGGTAAAACTGCATTTGCTAAGGTTGAAACTCAGCTTGGGTCATTATGGCTCATCTAGGACATACAGGAACTTACAGATGTCCTGCATGTCCTGAGTGTACAGCCCGTATTCTTCCTCTGCCTGAACTGCTTCTAGACTATTTCCCCTTCACTTTTTGGCCATTCACCCAACACAGGGTCTGATAACAGACTACTTGTTGGGAGTCAATAGGACCTGCTCGTGGATTGGAGCAAGTCTAAAAATGAGAAATCAAAAACGATCCCAAGGTTTCTGGCTTAAGAAAATGGAGACCTGTACTATTCATATATCACCATGGAAGAGAATACAGGCTAAAGGGAATATTCTTTTGTTTGGGAAAGGGTGTATTTGACAGGTCCGTTTGAGAAACAAAGG